AGGCCTATTTAAATTTACAATTTTTAACTATTGAAAGTAAAAATTCTCAATTTTAATTTGATGCCAGAACACAATTGAAAAAATTTGGTAAATCGAAAAGTTGTTAGCGCAACAGAGAACTTAAAAAAATATCCAAAAGTGGATAAAAGCGCCAGAATTTGCAGGGAAAAATACTTTCCTTTTGAATTTTGATTTTTAATGCTTTAAACTGTAGTAAAGTAAATCAAGGTAATTGCATTGACATATATGTTATTGGCTGCTCCAGTGGCCCACTCACAGGTGCAGCTGCACAGTGCACTGCGCATTGAGAAATTCCTCTTGTACTCCTTTGATATCTCTAGGTTTGCATCTGGTGTCAATTTATTCCTGTGTGATTGAAAGAATGTCATGTATGTGATGCATGAAGGCTCGTTTACTCTTCACTCAGCTCTTTCATGCTTGCACAAACCAATTTTTTTTAAATCACTTATTCAATTGACGAATCCCGGAAATTGGGTAAGAGACATTATATTGGTGAATCAAGTTAATGAGGTTAGTTATCTAACTCTAAACCCTAAGAAGACTCCCACCTGTGATGTCACTAGTGTCAGCTGATCTACCGTGGGAACTTGTAAATTAAATTTTCTATCCAGATGTTCTGTGTTCTGCGCAGTCCATAAATAGTCTGCGATGTATTTAGTCCTTTTTTACTCGACTGCGCTTTTACACTGCAAATTGCATCCACAGACATATTTTAAAGTCTTGCACACACATAAACCCAGATGGATATTTGAGGTGTGTCTTGCACAAGGACACTGGGATGCAGGAGCTGGGGGATTTTGCCACTGACCCAATGAATAGTTGACATCCTGCTATAAATCCTGAGCCACCACAAACAACAAGAATTTCTTGGGAAGGGGGGGCATGGCATACGTGAAGATTTGGTAAACAGTGAGGAATGTAAAAATGAAATAGTATTACTTAATATTGTACCACATACCCAGTTACCAAATTATATATTAACAAACAAAAAAAACTTCTGAGTAAATTCAAAAGATGATTTTTCGTAATTGTATCCACTTGTGAATGATTTTTCCCATAATGTAAATGTATTTACTGCACTAATGTGCAGTAAATACATTACTCAAAGGTCACACCTTGTGGAACTAATTAGGTTAATTGAAACAAGTCAGAGAAGAAAGTGTTTTTGAGCATTTCAAATGTCAACATGGGAGGGTTTCCCAGCTTTGTGAAAGGCCAATAATTAGGCAATTTTAAAATAGCATTTCTCTTAGCGAATTCCAGGAATTCTTTACTTTTTAAACTAACTTAGTTACAAAATATGGCCTGGCCAAAACCCAGTTGTGAATGGACGTGATCTACAGGCCCTCGGGAGAAAGAACTCTGCATTAAAAACAGACACAATAAACTTCTGAAAAGCTTTGCCAGTAAATATAGTTTGTGGCAGTATCCACAAATGCAAGTTAAAATTGTACCAAGCAAAGAAAAATATATATATAAACAAGATCCAGAAATGCTGGCGCCTTCTCTGGGCCCAAGCTCATTTATGATGGAATGAGGCAAAGTAGAAAACGGTCCTGTGGTTTGACCAATTAAAATTTGAATTTTTGTATTTTTTTTTTAATCATGGACACAGCACTATGCAGGGTAAAGATGAGAGGGAATGATTGTTATATTGGATAGTTCAAAAGCAAACATCTGTGATGGTATTCTGACATATTTTTCAACGAAGATTGTGCTTATTTCAGGAACACGATGCCAAACCAGATTCTGCACGTACTACAACAGCATGGCTCCATTGTAAAAGACTCCAGGTGCTTAGCTTACATGCCTGCAACCCAGACTTCTCACTCACTGAAAACACTCGGTGCATGACGAAATGAGTAATATAACATAGTAGGCCTTAAACCTTTGAGGAGCTGAATCTCATATCAAGCAAAGAATGTTTTTAAAACTACAGCAGTTGCTCTCCTCAGTTCCCAACAGCGTTGTTAAGAGTGTTGTTAAAAGAAGAGGAAATGCAACACAGTGGGAAACATGCCCGCGCCCCAGGTTATTGCATTTAACAAAAACTAAAGTAAAGCAACTTGTAAAATAATTAAACCATGGGTAACTAAAATTTTTTTTAAAAAAAGACAACTTAAACAATATTGTGCACTAACAAAAATTATATAGAGAAAAAGTGCTTTAGTTCTCATTAATTTGGCCAAATGTACCAACCCAATTAACCTCAGACAACATTAATATCTATACAGAACTTCTTATATTTAGCTCTTTACAAAAAGATTATTCACATTAAAATTATAAAAAAAGAAAGTAAAACTAATACTGGAGCCAATAAAACGACAAAGCAATTATAACTTTGCTCTGCCCCAGCTTTTCTTAGGGATGTCCATGCTATGTTCTGTTTCTGTTTTCTTTATATTGAAGGTAGGACTTAAATTAGACACAGCACTGAATGGCCCCTGGGCCACTTCATGCCTGTTGGTTGCCTCTGATTACCCCTGTTATGTCATTGAGAAATAAGGTTCAAATTTTCAGCCAGTTTGATACACTCCCTATCAGAGAATAGTTTACTGTTTTATTTTTGCAGTTTTGTGGGAAATCACAAAAAAATTTATATTTTGAAGCCAAATGCAGATTTTTAACATTTATTTTTTGAATTTATATAAGCACTGTGAATGGAGTTTTACTGTAAATGCATTGAAACTGAAAGACCTGAAAGATTAAAAAAGAGTTTTTAAATTAGACATAACACTTAAAAGTATTTATTTATTAAAGTCAGATGTAAAGCCCTATTCATAGTTTGTGTTTTGCAAACCTTAGTTTAAGGATTGTTTTATTTTAATCACCATTATAAGATTAAACTTGCAGAGAAATACCAGAACTTCACTGATGTAGAGTGGAACCTTTGCTAGCAAGCTTTCCGGGCTCCACACATCCAGGGATGGAAAAGTCTAGATGAGCTTTGTGATTTCACGCAAATGTCATATCTGTGATAGAGCTCAATCGGAGGAACTGGCAGATATTCATTCAACGAAAGGGACTATGAGCAGGAATTCACACCAGCAGCTAATTTAGAATAACTAATTAACCTAACACACATTTTTGGAGTTTGTACTATTATTATGGAGATGTGTGGAGTATGGAGTTTGTGGGTGCAAAAGGCCCCAGCCAGGCAGATCTAGAACTATCTTGCTGTAGGCAACAATGCCAACCACAGCGCCACTGGTCATGATTTAACAAAATAGCTGCAAAGTCACTGTTATGGTCGCTAACCAGCTTGCATCTCTAAACTGTTTGGAATGGTAGCATGCCCATGTTAGAACCATAGCATTTTATGTTAGGATTAAACTTAATGACATGAACTTCCCCCACATCCAACAGTTTACTGCCCTCAGTATAAAAACTAGTGTGTCCATATATACATGAAAATTAAAAACTGTTCTGCGGTCTTTGCCTACTCTTTCTTCCTCTAACTCTTTTAAGAATTCTTATTCAGAAATTTTCAAATTAGCATGCTTACTTCCTACTATTTGTATTCAGTACTGAAATTCATTTACAATAAGAAGTATCATATTTACCTGTTGTTGTCAGGTCACGAAGCAGAGAATGGGTCTGCTGAACATTTATTGTGTGGTGTGACGTACTCATGAGTGTAAGCCACGGTTAACATTGAGTCAGATGTTTTGGATTAAACACGACGTTCACATTGTAAGAAAATACCTTCGGTTTTATTCAAATCCTGTTTTAATTCAAACTGTCTTTGTTTTGTACTCAAAGAGAAAAAAGAAAGCTGTTTATCTCATACTATCTAAAAATCTGGGTTGTATAAAGAAGATTAAAGTGAAATCTGGATTTTATGTGACAATGATTGATCAAGGCCAAAGTTTTCACACGGACATGGTTCTACTGGAAAGATTTTAATTTCTTTCACCAATATTTCTACTTTGGAGGTACTTTGTGATGAAGCATAGCCATTTTTAATTGATTTAGCAGAATGATATTTGATCATCGGGTCTTAGAAAATGTAGCTACTTAGTTTGATAGTTTAGAAAACGAGTTCTTTAGGGATAGAGCGTCTTGTTGTTTCAGAAAAAAGGGGAAAATCTTCCAAGTCTTTCCTGGAACGCTTCCCATCTGTTATCCTCAGGTTCCCTCATCTTTCATCTAAGATCTAAGAGTTTGGTTAAGGTATGTTACATCTTGAACCACTTCCATCTTAAATCAGCACATTGCCTCTCACTGTCTCAGAGGGGCGCAGAAAGAAGACTGGAAAGACACACACACACACATAATCCCTGAAACTCTGCATCCAATTTGGAGGAGGACATGAATGAAAAGGCCTATTCTGAAATCTATCCGCTGCCTGATAATGATGCACTTCTGTCTGCAGATGCCAGCAAAAACACATGTTATCTTTCTTCACCACTTGAATACAGTAATTGAGAAAAGTAGTGCTTGTAGGCAAAGATAGTAAAAAAATGACAGGGTTTGACATACTTTGTTGAAACATACTGCATAGTATATACTGGACAAAAACATACTGCCATTTAAAAACTGTACTTGAAATTATACTTAACTCTTCCAGTATTTCCAAGAAATAATGGCGCTAATTTAATTATCAAGGCAACAGTGCAATTCCATATCATAACCTCCACCCCAATTTTTCCATGACCACCACACCACAATAGTAAACATCAAGCCAGACTGCATGGCTGTACTAATGATAAGGCGTGACGCAGTAAAGGAAAACAAGGCTGTTAAAAAGCAGATGTCCATACTAGTTCACACATGGTATTGATATTTGCATAGCTGGAGGTGATATGTTGATGTGTAGATAGTGGAAAATATATGTGCACTAATGAGACAGAGTGGCTGGGGCCACAGGGGCTACAGCCTCAGAGAGAGGGGATTTACTCTATACCGACAACATTTTCCACTTATTCTAAGAAACACACGGGCAGCGTGAGCAAGGGAGGAAGCATCGTCTCAGATCGGCCAACTGGTAGGTATACTGCACCTACCTTACATTTAAAAAGTGGAGCAGGAAGAATGAGATCTGTCTGAAGTTAATACAGCAGCGTAAGTCAGTGTTAGTTGCCAATCATTTCCACAACGATCAGTGTTGTTAAGACTTATTATTACCTTTTCAACTACATAATTTCTCCCCGTTTTTCCTGGGTTTTTCAGAATGATCATGTGGACATTGGTGTTCCTCACAATAGGAATAGTGGATTTGGGTATTGGCCAACACTACAGCCAGATCCAGTGGCTGTCCCACCTGCGCAGGCGACAATGGCACGCTGGTTTGCAGGCTGAGGATGCAAATTGCCCCCTGGAGTGTAATTGCCCCTCAGTCTACCCCACAGCCATGTACTGTCATAGCCGCAACCTTCAGCATGTTCCCTATGTCCCCTCGCATATAAAATATGTCTACCTGCAGCATAACCAGATCACAGGCATCCAGGATGGGGTGTTTGACAACGCTACCGACTTGGTCTGGATTGTGTTATTTCACAACAAGCTCAGCTCAGACAAAATCGGCAAGAACGTCTTCAGCAAGCTCAAGAACTTGGATCGGCTCCTCTTGGATCACAATGACCTAACACACGTGCCTCCTAACTTGCCCACTTCAATCACAGACCTGCGACTTGGGCACAACAAGATATCAAAAGTCCTTGCCAGCTCATTCAAGGGGATGACCAACCTCACCACCCTTCATCTCCAAGCAAATGCCATAGAAGACGTTGGAGGTGTGTTCAAGGGGTTCAAGTCTCTGACAATGCTGGATATCAGGAAAAACAAACTAAGGAAAATCCCTGACAACCTCCCTGTGAGGGTGCAGCAGCTATACCTGGAATTTAATAATATAGAAAGCATTCCAGCAGATTTTCTCACCATGTATCCCAAACTGCAGTTTGTCCGCTTAGCTCATAACAAGCTGACTAATAAAGGACTTCCTTCCAATGTCTTCAATATCAGCACGTTGGTCGAGCTTGACCTGTCCTTCAATAAACTGGAAAAGATTCCTGTTGTCAGCATGAACCTGGAGAACCTTTACTTGCAAGGCAATAAGATTAAAGGTATGAGGACTTCTATTACTTTAAATTAGATAATGCCTTGAAATATTTTATGGGCACAGAAAGACAAAAAGGTTAAAAATAAGCAAAGAAGAGTAATGTGATTACATACACCCTCAGTGCAGAACTAATTTCCTGAATGTTGCAGGCTGTCTTTATGTAAGACTCGGAGCTCTCCAGTAGTTTAGTGATTTTACTCAGCGAGACACACACGATGCCACTCATGCATATAAAGCGAGTGATAATACAGAAATCTTGAAGACTTTAGATGTAATGTTTAAAAGGACTGTGCTTTGTCCAAATATGGTTTGTTAGTCAATTTGTTATGCTCCAGGATGCCTCCAGTGGTGTAATCCTCTCCCATTGCTTGGTTGATAAAGACTCATGCTAGTTATCCTGTATGCTTCTTAGCTATATTACTCAACTTCATTCAAACGGTCATCCAGCTTGTATGTATATATCCACAAATGTGTTTATTTGGCTTATCAACTTCCTAAAATTTAATTTTTTTCCCCCAATCTTTAAATAAGAATCATTTAATGCCTGCATGTGATGTTCGGGATCGGAGCTGCACATGCAGCAAAGAGAACATTTCAACCACTAGATGACAGCAAAAGCAAGATTTTCAAACTGTTTACCAGTTATTTAAATTATTCCGTTGAAGCAGGAATTTTCCACGAACTGTCTCTCAGTCATGGTAGAAACTTTACGAAACACCAGATATCCTCACACTAGAGCTCTCAACAGAAAACAATGCAGGTTTTTTTTTTTTTGACAAACTCCAGAAAATAACTCTTTACTGACTCCATTTAAAGAAAGGTTTAGAGAAGATCTGCCCCTTCTGACACAGTCATACATTTTGGAGTTTGCACGGACTAATATGCATAGGTATATGTAGCAATGAGCTTGGTTTGGTAACACTTGTGGTGAACAGACATCATCAAGACATCATTTTTTGCTTCACATCTCAAAAGATGAGAGTAACCTATTTTCTCGCCCCTTTCCTCTTTCAGAGTTCTCCCTGAGCAGTTTCTGCAGTGCTGTTGACATGTCAAACTTCTCCAGGCTGAAGATGCTCCGTCTCGATGCTAATGAGATCAGTGCCAAAGACATTCCTGCTGAAGCCGCCTACTGTTTGCGACATGTTGCTTTCATTGATGTGTAGAGGTTTCCGAAATGTCTCTATCTGTAACACATGCCATGCTATTATGCTTCATTGCATTTTCCTTATATTACTCACTCTCCTCTTCATTAAAACATGATTGCATAATGTTTGTTTAAGCTGTTATGAAAGCTGTTAGCATTATTGAAATTATAAAACTAACCAAAAGGAAATACCATAGTTTTACAATCACATATCCGGGTGGCAGACATGTGGATGACAAAGAGTGAAGAGATCTGGTCTAACGAGTTACATCCGTTCAACTAATTAATTGGTTCCAGTTGTCTGGTAAAATGGTTAGTAATAATAGTGGTCAAGTATAATAGGAATATAATATAATATAATATAAAATATAATATGAAACTGCCAGCCATTGGATTTTTGCCTCCATCATGTGGCACCTGGTAGAAAGGAGCAGTAATTATCATCAATATGTTTTTGTGAACATTTTAAAATTATAATCAGTGATGCACACTGAGTAAAGCATTTACACTTTGTCTTCTGGTTATTCAGTCCATAGGACAATTTTGATTTTCTCCCTGTTCACATTTAACATGTGAAATTGTCTGGTTAAGTGTGTCTCTAATTAAATATGTATTCTACTTCAAATGAGCCGTGACTGTTATGTCTCACTGTTATCTAATTGTTTACTTCAGTTCACACAGTGACTTTTCAAGACCCTATTGGGCCACGTGACCCGTCAGAGTTTTTGACAACAAGTTAATTTGGTTTCCTCTAATTTGAAGGTAAGAAGCAGATGAGCTGGGAAAGAGGACTGTCAAAAGGTATCTCCACTTCTTCTAACTGATCTTAAGCAGTTCCCACATATTTATTGTTGAAGACAACTTGCCTTTTCATCTTCAACAGCTGCCTTTAATCCCTTGCAGAAAGGCACTAAATTGAATTAGAGAAATGCTTTACTTGTTTTGTAATGGTGCAGTGTCTTGGGATAAAGAATGGATCACTGCCATGCAACGGTGGTTTGCACTCTGATAAGCGGTAGCATGTGAAATTAAGTGTGTTATAGATTATGCTGTATTGCAGGTTGCAGTTGTTACTGCAGACAATGGGTCGAAGAGCTGTGTTTTCCGTCTCTGTTTTCTTCAAAAATTCATTGAAAACAAAACAGAGGCCAGCTCACATGCATATGCACATCCTTCGACATGATTTACTGATTTGGTCCTCTCAAAGCCACATGCAAATGTTTCACTTTTTGGGGAATTGTCCAGTTCTTCTGAAAACCATTAAAGTATTTATTAACACAAATAAAACATTTGGCCTGACCATCATGGAGTAAATACAAGTGAATACAAGCAACTGACAGCATTAGAGAAACCCACGTGCACAAAGCCTTTCTGTTTTCTCAGTATTATAACCAGTTATTTGTCATTACCATGCAGTAATGATTGTAATGCGTGCGTATGAATAAATTGTGTTATTATTCCCACTAAAATCTGTCACCTCCATATGTAATAAAACACATTTCCTTTGAAGCTGCAGCAGTGATATGCATCTATTGTAATAATTTCCTAACTATTCTCGTAACCAACAACACATTATTGTACAGAAGTCATATTGAAACTGTTTGTACAGTTTTGAAATACTTAAAAAAAACAATCACATAAAAAATCGAATTCTCTTAACAAAAGAGCAACTATGTAAAGACTTTTTAGATTGATAAACTTTGCAAGTTTTTGCAAGAGAAAAAAAATTCCAACACAAAATGTACAACAGTGGACACTATGAAGTGGCTATAAATCCTTTAATGAGAACATGACCCGCTCTTTAGATGTGAATGTACTGTGTTCAGTTATGAACTGGACAGCTGGTTAGCTAAATAAAGTTTCAGCTGATTATCGATGGTTAACTTTTATTACCAATACAGTGATTGAATAAAGTGACGATAATAAATAATTCTTGGAAATGTTTGGCAAATAACATTAAAAACATGATGTTAACTTGTAGCAAATAGAAACACATAATTCAACATACATAACTGCTTTAAAAAACACTTTTTTTGTGAACTTAAAAAGTTATCTGCAATAGAATATGCATAAACATAATATACATACCACATTATTAACAATAAGTTCCATCTTTGGTCTCAGATCAAGCAAAGCTTCTTATCCAAAAGGTGTGCATGATACATTACACACATACTGACACAAAAACTCAGGTTCACAAGTGCTCTGTCTGCTGCTGCAGTGACTACCTGGAGAGAGAAAACAATACTGAAAATACATAAAAACATAAAGACATATGTGCAGTTATACTGCTGCACACAATGCATTTGTTTAACGCATTTAAACAGCTCCAGATGCTTAACTGTTAGCAATGCTTTATAGGCCAGTAGGATACTCACATTACTGTCCCTCAATTTCTATGTCCTGCAGGTCTGTGCTTTAATAAGACCACAGAAGCATGCTTTAGCGTCATTTCAGTAAAAAAAACGCAACGTCAGTCTTTTTGCTTAATTAATCCGTATATTCTCACCTTGCGTTTGTTTGTAATCTTGATCCATAAGGGTTGTAAGTTTTCTGTATTGGGAAAAAAAAAGCACATTTTTTACACATCAACATATCTGAACACATAATACAAACAGTTGGACCTGTCTTTATTGAAAACACTGCATAATCACTCACATTGCCAGCTTGTAAAATGTGACTTATTCAAAAACTTCTTCAAGAAGATGAGATGCGTGGGTTGTTTGAGGCATGCAAAGTCTTGTTCATGGTTCACTACTTTTTTCAAGAAGGATTGCATTGTGAATCATGCCGCAATTGTAGAAACTTTCACAGAACTTTAGAAGAAATATTGTGAAGATGCACTTAGTAAGGCTACAGAAGTGTGTCTGAAAAGCTTGATGTTCATCAATTCACAATAAGAGAAAAAATGTCTTATGTGAGCAAATATAGGACTTACACAGTGCTATTTTTTATTTTTATTTTAAAAGGCACTACAGCACACAACAAAGCCTCCACCATGTCTCCCAGATGTTAGACATGGTGGAGGCACCGTTGTAGTTTTGGGCTGCTTTGCTCCCTTAGGGCATTGCATCCATTGAGGAAACAATTCCATGTGGGAACATTTAAACAGCTTTTTTTAGGAGAAATAGAACAACATGTATTCACTGTTGTCTTAAGTCTTTTAAACCACTTTGAGCACCATGTAATGGAGAAAAGAAGTTTATATAAGTTACTGAAGCTCAACAGTTTGTAGCAGAGTATTTTCAGTCTTCACTGTGCTTGATTGCTCATTATGTTCAATAAAGACATGAAAAGTACAACTCTTTGTTCATTATTAGTTTACCTTTAAGATGAACTAATATCAGACCACATTTTTGTGTGTAGTCAACACAGAAATTCTCCTAATTCCAAAGGGTTCAGAGCTTTTTCTGGGAACTACAATGTCAAGTCATAAGAGATAAAATCAGTTCCACTGCTTGAAGTGGTCTTGTTAGAAGGAGGAGAATAAAGACTAACAGAAAAAGATACGTTTTTGATTAACAACCCCAAGTAATGAAACACACCAAGGTTCCTGTCAGTATGCAAAACAGTTGCGAAGATTAGCTCTCACTTCCTTTTTGGCATCCTTCTAAGTATGGCCAGAAGTTCTGTTCCAGTTGTGGAGCACATTCCAAGATGACTGTCCTGGGAATATTTTTAGATATTTCATCGTGATCCACTGTGACAGTCAAATTTGGTAATTAGAAGAACATTAGAAGTTCAGCCTCCCACTTTTCAACAGACAACAAATATTTGTTCAAAGCAAAAAGAAAACAGCCAAAATGTTATTTTGCTCCCTAATGGTTAAATACCACATGTCATGCTTCCCTTTCTGAAACTTGGTATTATATGTGGCACCATGGTGCAGTGGTTGACACTACTGTGTGCATTCTCTCTCTGTGCCTTATTAGGTACTCCAGCTTTTTCCCACAGTTCAAAGACTTGCTCAGTTAATAGGTGATTCTTGGCTGTATCTGTTTTTCTGTCCTGGACTGGTTGATCCAAGGTTTAACTCAACCAAATGACATCTGGGATAGGTGTCATTTAGTGCCCCAAATGCTTTGAATTGTGGCAGCTTTTCTGCTCTTTCATTTTGTAAAGGAAAGCCCAGAAGCTCCTATGCAAAAAAGGCAAGTAAGGAAGCACTGAAGCACCTGTCTTTGAACTTTCCTTTACTGAATTCATCTAACTTTTTTGTGTCTACAACTGAACTTCTTTGCTTTTAGTGTGACTGATTGTGCCCATTTTTTGTGGTGTTGCTGGCATAATTTGGCATAAACCTCCTTAAACTTTGAGAAATAATGTTTTCATGAATTGCTGTATATATCTGTGAGATAACCTAAATATTTACTTCAGTCCCCTTAGACCCAACACCATTGATTAAGAAGCTACTATTGGCTGCTCCCTTTTTCATATGTGGTTACCGCAACAGGCGGCACTGCATTTTACACTGAATAAAATGCGATCGTGGCTCAAGAGTTGGGAGTTCGCCTTGTAATCGGAAGGTTGCCGGTTCAAGCCCCGGCTTGGACAGTCTCGGTCGTTGTGTTCTTCAGCAAGACACTTCACCTGTTGGTGGTAAGAGGGCCCGATGGCGGCAGTGTCCAGCAGCCTCGTTGCGCCCCTGGGTGGCTGGGGCTACAACGTAGCTTGCCATCACCAGTGTGTGAATGGGTGGATGACTGGTTGTATAAAGTGCTTTGGTGTCCTTAGGGACTAGTAAAGCACTATACAAATACATTCTTCCTTATGCAAACCCAAAGATATGTGTCTATAAAACACAGGAAAAATGCTAGCGAAGGTTACTAATGATATTCTGATGGGCTGAGACAATGGAAAAGTCTGGGCTCTTTCCTAACTTCAGTGCATCATTTAATATGGTTGAACAAACTTTTTCCTACAAATACTAGAAGATACTGAATGTGCTGTGTTGGTTGCGATCATATTTGTCTGATAGATTACAGTTTGTATATACAAATGGAGAGTCGTGAAGTTCTACAGGATTCTTCCCACATAGCAGATATGTCTGCCCCGGTTCGGGTGTTAAGGCGGCACTGCTGGCTGACTTCTGGCATGTTAAGTGCTATGTCATCCACTTATGGGCCAGGCCTGGGTTAGATGGCACTGTTTATGTGATGGCATGCCACATCTGGCCCGATTGTGGTTTGGTTTATGTGGCCCAGGGTCATAGACCTGGCACTTCTGACTGACTGGTGACTCATGGCAGGGTGTATGTCAACCAGATGTGGCCCAGGTCTGGCAATGATGGCACTATTTATGTTCCTATTTTATTATTTTAGTTAGAAGACCCAAATCGCAAATGTTGCAATACTATACTGCTATGGTAGCCAACGTTTCAAATGCAGTTTTGACAGGTTTGTGAGTGTACACTTTATTCAAAACCTAGTGAGGGTTTACTCATGCTTACCACTAGGTGGCTGTAGCTCAGGACGTAACCCTACTAATCGGAAGGTTAGCGGTTTGATCCCTGGTTTCGCCAGTCTGCATGTCGAAAATGTGAATGTGTATGAATGTAGTTAGGAAACACTCGCTTTACAGAAAGTGTTTGATTGGGTGAATGTGGCATCTTGTATAGAGCAAGTACAAATACGCTATATAAGAATCAATCCATTCACTGTCTCAACAGAGTTCCGGCTTCTTACTTTTGCACTATTATGTTCTGGCACATGTTGTTGTTACATGGCTTGATTAAGGTACACATTAGGCTGACATCTGGGACCAGAGCTGAAACTGTTCTGGGCCAGTACAGGACCAGCAGTGTGTCTGTAACTGGCCTTGCGCTGGCCCATGTGTGGGCCACCTCTGGCAAACCAGATCTGGGCCACCAAAGGGCCGTCATTCAAGCACATGAATGGCCCAGATCTGGGCCATTGCAATTTCCGCTATGTGGGTTAGGCAACACTATTAGAAAACACTGCATTCATATCAATTGCTGCCTAATTGTTACCCAGTTAGGTTAATCAGAAAAGCCAGACCAGATTAAAAATGTGTCTAAACAGACCCATTAAATAAATCACTTCTTTCATTTATATCATATAAAAATTAAGAAAATCCTGTGTTAGAGAAAACTAAGTAATAGAGCTGAAAACATCACATTTTACCTATAGGCTGGGTTGTTCTAATCATCAATCAAATGTCCTCAAAGTTCTCTCACAAGCCTTCAGCTAATCCAAAATTCTTACTTAAAACTAGCTGATATTTTTCCCTAATATTAACTTATCTTTATTAGATACCAGTTATTGCAATGTGGGTGGAAACCAAACTATTGATGAAGCCCACACAAAGGTACAAAGAGAACATGGAAAAGCCACAAAGGCCACAGCTGACTAAGGGTTCAAATCAGGAACCCTCTTGCCACCCCTTTTTAAAATCCAGAAATGCTATTTAAATCTTTGATCATGCGCCATCACATCTTAACAACTTCTTGTACCCTATTATCCTAAGAGAGCACATTGTTCTCCGAATGCAGTCTTACTTGAGGTTCCCAAAAGTATAATGGAAGACAGAGCTGTAACCTGTCAGTCTCCACTCCAGTGCAAACAGCACAAACACTTGGAGAGAGACACCCTCTATACTTTTATCATTAGCTTCTAAAAGTGTGTAAAACAAATCCTTGTTAGGTTACTAGCACCACATTGCTGGAAAACAGATGTATACTTCCAGGTTATATTATTGAAGTGGCTTATGCAAAAACGGCTATTTATCAGCAAATGTTATTACAAAAAACGTTCTATGCAAATTGGCTACAGGAGACTCCCAAACAATAATGCAGCACAGGATTGTATACACATAAAGATACAACAGCTGTATTTTCACGTATTTTACAATAAATTGATAAAGTTGAACGATACTGTGCAGAAAAATTTGAGTATACAAGTGCTACACAAAGCTTCTATGTGTGATACAATATCTTTTCCACCTTCCAAACTTCCACTATTACATTTTCAAATCCAATCTTACTGCTATAAATTAAAAAACGCCACTGCAGCCTCCATGCTCCTCAGCTGAGTAACTTATAGTCTTTTTACAGCGATTTATTAGGTTTAAGGCTTTGGGAATGTAATGTTTATGTTACTGTCTATCTCATCCCTGTAGACAAAGCAAAGCTACAGTAGATCTTAGTTCTCAAGTGGTGAGTGGTGGCCCAAGGTAGGTCACAAATCATATTTACCAGAATTGTAGCCAAAATGATCTTTTGAAGTCAAACATATTTTCATTGGATTTTGATCAACTTGAGGAAGACTGTTTTTGAGAGACATTTTGTTTAGCTTTGGTTGCTAAAAACAGCTGTATGTTTGTCTCCTGTTTGGATCTTTATTTATGCAGTTGGAGGTTTGAATCAAGCAAAGCTTTACATCAGAACTACCATACTTTCTAAAAAGTGGACAGAGCATGCTTATATTACTGTTTACAACAAAGCTATAGTTTAAGCCATGTGGCTCAGCAAGCTATGACAGCCTATAAAATCCTTGAACATCTGACTTTATTTTCACTTTATTTGCCTTGACAGTTTTTTCCCCAGTAAAACATTATAGAAAAGCTGCATACTGTAATTAAACAGCCTACACTACAAACAGTATAAGCACCTTTAAAATGAGGCATGGTGATTTATATTCACTAATCTACAATTCAAGGTGAAATAACTTTGCATCCATGTATCAAAGAGGTTCAAAAAAGAAAAAAAAAAAGCTGAACAAGGTCCAAGCTCCAAAATGCGGTTAGTTGGTTAAAAATAGCGTTCCACAACTGTCCAACACATACAGCACTTCACTGAGGTTACCAGTTGTCAATGTCAATGTTTCTGCACTCACCGCCAGCCATGCAAGATCCCTAATAGTCTGCTGCATGTACTCATGTCACTACATGTAATTAGCTAAACAACCATGCAAAATCATTAATTCCTGGAAGAGAAGTCAGAAGTCAGTTCCACTTTCTCATGCTGTCTGGTCTCTTTTCATCTATTTGTCTTTTTTTTTTCCTTTTAAATGCATTAGCTGCAGCATTCAGTGTAATTTCTGGTACACATTCCTTATTTGTTTAGCAATTACTGGTGAGTGTCACTGCCTAAAAACCTCAGTGTCTGTCTGATGTTGGATTTGATATCGGACATCAAACATCAAATCTGAAGTTGGATTAATCAATCTGATTCTGAATCAGCTTCTTAGTAATAATTGTCAAATCAAAATACTGATAAGAATTACATATGGACTTGAAAGAGCTACTTAAATTAATACCATTTGTTTGCCTTTATCCTATCACTGTGGAGGTCTAATGTGACTGTAAAATTCTCTGCAAGGATTAATAAAATTGAGTCTGTCTAACATGACACATGACGCTAAGCAAAAACATCTTTGTCAACTATCATTCCAGTTTTAGACTCTCCTCAAGAGCTAAACCATTCACGGTTTTCCCTTGAGTATACATTCTTGACAGCTGCTGCCTGTAAGAAGCAGAGTGCTTTGTGACCATGTTTGATTTCCACACAGAATCAATGTAAAAACAAAACGCATGTCGACTGCAAGAAAGCTATAGAGCATGGGTGGCCAAACATTTATAGTTCTGGGCCAAATGCAGAAAAATATGTCGAGTCTTAGGGGGGGGAAAGCCTATGTATTTCACACTTTTGTGCTTTTGTAACTTGAGAGACAATAAACCTTCACTGTAAAGTATTTTATCTCTTTTGACTTAAACGCTGTTCTGTTAGAGGTCTTATTAGCATATTATTGTTTTCAGTGTTCTTAGCATGCCATTTCATTGCTTTGCTTTATAGGATTTCTTATTAAACTTTGTGTGTGTGAGAGTTTTTAATAAGCTATTCAGCCTTTTCCAAAATGCATTTGTTGCATTTTGAAGGAATGAGTGAAGGTTAAAACCAGCATTATGTTAAAGTCATGACTTAGAGTCTGTGAATAAAGTCACTATAGATTGTAAGCCTCAGCCAGCTAAAAATCAGTGTACTCTAAATCATTCAGCTTCTCAAGCTATAGCTGACTGCACTAAATACCCTCAAATCCATAAATGCAATGCTTGCATTTGTGTATTTTTGTGCATGTGCTGCTGCAAAGTAGGTGCCAGCCTACACGGTATTTATTAGTGAGAGAGGGCCAGTGCTTCTGCAAAAAAGGAGTGCCCCGGAGAACAGAGCTGACTGCCAAAGTCTACTCATTTGCAATATGACTTGAATGCCTGGCTAACTTGACAAGGGCACATGCGATCTTGTAAATTAAAACAAAAACAGAAGCTCGGATACCTTGTGTGTGATGAGGCAGTAGAGAGTAAGAATGAACAGCAGTCCTCCACAGATAGATGCGATGATGAAACCCAGCTTGTACAGGTCACTGACTGGTTCTCTCTGAGAGCCCTGCACAGAATCTCTGTCATAACTGTCTGTAGGAAAGGACACACGATTTGTGATCTCTGCAGTTGCCGCAGACATCTGAGTGTTTCATCACAAACTACCCAAAAAATTGAGATTCTCACCTGTAAAGTGTTGTGTGATTGACTCTGTGTATAACTCTGTGTATAACTCTGTGGTAGAGCCAAAGGTTTCTGTGTATTCATGCTGGCACCTCCAGTCAACCGGTGCATCGCTCGTCGTTACCAGCTCCCAGTAAACCATTAAGACTTCTAAGACCTTCTGTAATGCATCCGAAGGAGACCCTCTGTAGAGCACTTCAAAACTCTCTGGTTTATCCTGAAGCAGATTCGAAGAAACAAGTATTTCATATGTCTTTAAGGTACTGCAGATTCATGTGCTCACACTATTCATATGATTTGTCATCTTCATATGACATTATAAAAGAAACAGGCTGCAAGTTCAGCATTCGGAAACTCACGCTGACCTCAATCTCTTCATTAATCCAAGGCACACATTTCTGAGAATAGATGTTGAGGATGAGCGCCCTCAGGGACTGAACATAGCCATCATTTACTGAACCCCGAATGTATTTGAAGTGGGTCGTAAGGAGCTCCAGTATCCAGGGTAATGCAGCTTTTACAAAGCAACATTTGCTCTGTTGGAAATCAGAAGACAAGGTAATAAACACGAAAAGCACAAACCAGTTAATGGAAAACCTAAATCAAAGGTGTTTGGGGAAAAACAGTTGCATAAGGTTATATTACCCACCAAACTCCTCCGTTCTATGAATGTGTAGTTTATTGAACACCCACTTCTTAACTGGTTATCCATCTGCGGAAACAACAATTGCAACATCTCAGCCTGGGACGTGCAGGGTGATTGCTTTAATGTTGTTTCAACACCTACCAGTTGCCTAACTGTCAGCAGGTGTTCCCTAGTGATGGAGTGTCTGCATGGGCCAGGGACCTCAGCCATAGTCAGAGGGAAGCTCAGGAACATTATCATACACAGACACTTTACCTGCAACTAACACAACCACATAGTGTATTCATGAGAACTACAAAAACCCATTAGAAGTACTATCTGTAGACTAAAAAAACCCACTCAAGCAGACAGTCCTTGTAGACAGTGTGAAAAAAAAACCTAAACTGAATAATACACTCGAAAAAAACAACTAAACCACAACAACATTCTGGGCAGCCTTTCCTTAACATTTCAACATGCATGTACTCCTCACCCTGTAGCAGTCCAATTCAGTGACCCCTCCCAAGTTGTGCTAATCTAAAATTATTTCCAAGAAAAGAATAAGTTCAAAGCAAACCTAAGTTGAATTTCCACCTAATTGAGCTATAAAAATTTAACAGTAGTAATTCTTTCCATCCAAAATATCTACATTCGAAACGTAACAGCAATACTTTCTTTCCAGAAAACACAGTGTTTGTGTTTAACTGCTCTACGCCGTCATCTGGATCTCAGCTCAGATAAAATATCAGGTTTCAGATTGAGTTTGAGAGGAATGCATAGTGATTCCTTGCTGCAACACTACTAGTGACTGATGTTTAAGTAAGTGTGGAGGACTGTGGCGTGGGGGTGGATAACCTCAATTTTTGGTCAAATACTGCCCTCTACCATGGAAGCCTAAGCAGGGAGAACAATGTGCACAGGATCCAACTGTAGCTGATGTATGTCTGCTACCAAGCACCTTTTGGCAACAGTAACAGTCAAATGGGCTCCAGATGGAATTAATGCTTCCACTAAGGATTAAAACATGGTGATAAGCACATGTTCTTCACACTAAAAGCTAAATGATTACACAGAAAGGCATTTCATAGGTACCTCTTTGACTCACTTGTCTCCTAAAGTTTGATGCAGCTTTTGCAATAAATAGTCAAGATAGAGGGAAGTGAATGAAACAATAAAACAAGATTTATTTGTCTCCAGTCAACTTCTGAGATGAATTAAGGTAAATGGTAAATGGTAAATGGCCTGTATTTATATAGCGCTTTTCTAGTCCCTAAGGACCCCAAAGCGCTTTACATATCCAGTCATCCACCCATTCACGCACACATTCACACACAAAAGACAATTCTTTGAAAGCCGCAGAGACAAGAAATAATCTTTTTATATTTGGTTTTCTGTTCCTAATACAATTTTGAGCTGTTGAGTTTAACTCTTACTTGGTTTTCTGGACTACAAAGCACTAAATCAGTGCACATGGCAGGAAAGAATTATTGCCAGGACCAGGAGGAAAAATAAGTTCCGTGCCATCAAAGTTTTAAGTTTGATGCTTTGATGTAGATTTAAAGCAACATGCTGAATAATAATAACAGAGTTACTTTTACAGTAAAGTGGGATGGTACGTTAAAGACTAACATGCCATACTAATAATAGTAACCAGCATAAATACTTAATGATTAAATTAATGATATTAAATAAAACTATTAATGGGACTGGTACTTGGCACATGCAGGAGCACATGATGTAAATGTCATCTATCACATGATTCATTTTCTCCATGGTGTCCAAGATATCTCTATGTAGGTCAGCAAACGCATGATCAAGCAGATAACTTCATATAGAGACTAACGCAAGCATTGCGCTCAGTGTAGTAGCGGTGTTTTTGAAAAAATTCTGATTAGAGAAATGTTCTCACCTACCTTAGCTTTGCTCTGAATCAGCGTGGACACAAGGATGGTCATCTGGTACGTGTTTGACAATGGAAAACACCAGACTCCTCTGTCAGACACATTGAAGCAAAGAGATCCTTTTCAAAAATTCACCTCCACTCCACCGAAAGGAATCTGTTATTAAGTAAATTTGACACTTCGTCATGTGGCGCTGTTCTTCAAAGCATTGCTTGATGTGTTCCCCCTCTACAGTGTGAGTTCAAACTGAGACTGTTTCAGCTGATGGACAGCCCTTTTAAAGACCTCCCACCTCACTATGTGGGACAAGATACACATTCCTGAGTCTGAAGACCAATGTTTTGGGGACTACAGATCAATTGACGTTTCTTAACAATTTCATTTTTTTGTATTTTAACATATCTGACTAAAACATTACATGTAAATATTAAAACTAAACGGGCAAAGAAAATTCTGTGAGCTTGAGGTGCATACTAACATCTGTTCTTGTCGAAATGCTTGAAGCGGGTTGAAAAGTGATCATAGTTTTTCCTCGGGAAATACAGGCTGTGAGTGAGTGGACCCAACTGAGCAAATGCGAGCAAAGAAAAACAAGATGTTCTGAGCACTCAAGGAGAATTTTTCTGACGATCATTTGGGGCAGAGGTTGTCAGAAGCAGGTGATGTTTCATGCTGCTTGAGGAATCCAAAACTCCTTTTTAAAATAACGTCACATTTTTCCAAGCCCGAACCTAAACCAAGGGAGAAGCACATTCACATAAATGCTTTTATGAGCTCTATTTTGAAGGGAAAACGAGGAAGAAAGGGAGAAGAAAAAAGAGTGGTTCGAAATTCAATGCCACGGGAAGATTTTACATTTTTCTCACATTCTTACATCTAATGTCATAAACGCCTTCCTCTTCCTGCTATCAGCCTGAGAAATGTACTGTCACTTTATACAATTCAATCAGCATTGGAAAGAAACCATTTAGATTAAGAGACGCCCTCCCCATCGTCTTGGAGGTGGCCCTAGCCAGAGTTATTATAGTTTTGTATTTTTTCAATAGTTTTTATTTTTTTTATTAAATTTTGACTTTCAGCTTTTCAGATTAGTTTCAGTTAGTTTCCAGATTTTCTTGTTTCAGTTTAATTTTTATTGTTTAAAAATGTTTAGTCTAAATCATGTTAGCTTCAGTTTTAGTGTTTTATAATTATTATGTACAGAGAGCATATGCCAGAGGCAAAATTCTGGAAAAACAGTACATGTATTGGAAGTGAGGAAGCCACTCACTTATAGACAACCAGAGTCTCAGCAGAAACGTCCACCAAAGCCTCAGCAGGCAAGTAGTAAAATCCTTTTTACCAAATTAACAAATATTAAAACTGAGATAGCTTGAGCTACCCAATAAAGGTTCATTCACTGTCCTCAGACCAATCAAGTTTGCCAATTGTGAATTCACACCCCATGGTTATGTTGTCAGCCCTCTTCTGTAATAATCTAAACTGTGGTGTGTTAAAACACAGCAGGCCAGACAGTCTTCACTCACCACCAGCCAACTTGCTATATTTTCCTCACTCAAATTTAATCTGCTTCCCGAACATTAAAATCAACTGGAAGGTTGAAGCTGTTTTGACTTACTGGAAAAGATCCAGCATGCATTGCCAAGACACGAGTACAAGGGGACAAAACAGGACCTCTGTGGAGCGATCTACAGATTTTAAGTCAAGGGTTTGAAAAAAAAGAAAAATTGGGCCAGTTCCCAGAACTGTTGGGCGCTGGGGGTGGATACTTTAATCTTTATTGACTTAGTTATGGTTGATCTTGGAAGAATGCAGTATAAGTCCCAGTTTTCTTTGGTATGGTTTTCTGAATGATTATGGCTACATTATGCTTTACATGAGCTACTCTTTGTAGGCTGAAGTGGCTGATATACAGGAGGCCAAACAAGATGTTTTTCATTTCAAAATATGGCATTGTCTCTAGAGTAGGGCTTTCATGATACTAGAATTTCAAAGGTGATACCAATCTCCAGGAAATCCTCAATACTTAATGCTATGTTCAATATCACAGGAGGAAAAATGAGTAAATTAAGATGTGCATATTTAAAAAAAGAAAAAGAAAAAAAGAACATAATAACACTGCTATGTGCAAATGTATACCACTACAGCCCTATTTACTTTCTATGCTTCCAGCAAATTCGGACCATATTGCATTGCTTAGCAAATGGAGTTGAAAGGGTAGGTTTCTTTCTCAGATTCAGTCTGGGAGTTCAAGAGGAACACAACACCACTGTTGGCACAGAGTATTTGAACTTGACAGGCAAACAACTTTGATGGGTTGGGCATTTGGGTCAAGTCACTTTACTATTCTGCAAAAAATAAAATAAAAAATACAAACAAAAGTAAAAAAAAGAGTGCATCCATGCTGTCATTTGCAATTTTTAAGAAAGTCCATGCTTTAAAACTACACCACATGGATTAGAGTACCTTCACATTACACCTACTGGAGTGGCTTCACCATGAAGCTCCCAGCACACAGTTTTTGAGCTGATGTTAATGCCAGAGGACGTTTGAGCCTTAGAAGTTACCGAGTTAGAAGAGGGCTGGCGACTTTTAATCAACGTGCACCTCAGCAGTCTCTGCTGCTCTGTCACTTTGCTTGATCAACCACTTCTTAGCTGAGTTGTTATTGTTCCTAAATGCTTCCTCTCTGCCACAAAGAATTGATTGTGGAATATCTCAATAATTATTTCTTGCTTGGGCTACAGTAACTAATTAGCATTGGGGGTTTTTTTTTTAATCTTTTCTCCTAACTTAATGTAACATAAGTTAGTTGTGTTTTTATGATGTGCCTGAACCCCCAAGACTTGTCCATAATGCTGGTGCTTAATAAAAATTTTTTAGACATAAATAATTATGTTATCCTGTTAAATTAATAGCTCCTACAGTTTTATTATTGTTATCTAGCTGCTTTGTTTATGATATCTTAACAGACAGCTAATGTGGCCAAAACTGCCATAAGGTAATTGCTAAGAGTTTAACGGCTATTTTTAATGTGCACTGGCCAGGTTAATGTTTATGATAAATGCTTAATGCTCAATGTTGAAAAAGAAGCCTTATTGGCCTCTTGAAATTCTTCATAAAACCCAGGGGTTCTTTAAGATTCTTGGCTAGTGTTGTTGCACTACTGTTCCTGTGTTTGGCTGCTAGTGGGGGGAGGGGCTTTGCACTTGCCTATCTGAAGTAGTACTGTGTGAAGTAGAGCTGTGCAATGCTACAAACTGCAAACTGCTTATACCAGTAATGATACTTTTAAAGTATAAAGGCAGTTTATACATGAAATAGCATTGTGTCATTATTTATGACGTAAATCATCATCAGTTTTAAGACCATTAAAGACCACTAAAAACATTTCAAAATAATTTGATTTTCAACCAAAGGAGGTGAACACAGCACAACTGGTATTGATACTGTTGCAAATGAGTGTCTAATCTGATGGTCTGTATGAGTATCTTTTCTTTTTCTGGCAACCCTACTGTCTAGAGAGCATTTCCAGAAGGTTGCCAGTTTTTGGTTGGCCTGTAGTTCTGACCAAAAATGGGTCTCAAGAACTTCAGTTAGTCCCATGGTTTAGATTTTTATGCAAGATTTTCCATTGGTTTTCTTTTTGGTTGGCTAGTGAGGCTTGTTTTAGAGAAACCTTTGGGTATGTTATTTCAGTTTAGTGCTCATGTATTAACTCCAGTTTGTTTTGGTTGCTGGAATTTTGGCAAAACAGACTGTGGTTTGTTTTCCAACTGCAGGCAGTGTGTTTTTTGAGTTGTAATGAAGAAACAACTTTTTGATTTGTTGTAGTGGTGGGCGGATGTCAGAGATTGAACTCCTTTCCAGCCTATAAAAGCTGTACCATATGTTCACTTGGCCTCCCTCTTCCACTCTTCCACCCACCAAATGTTTTTGTTAATTTATTTTCATAAAATTCTATTTAATCTATTTCAGTGACTTTCCTCTTGTGCTTATCTTGAATCACTTTGTGTTAAAGGGTACATTGCTTTTTGCAGCACCGGGAAACTTTTGTTGCTAAGCAAACTGGGACTAACCATGTAAACACCAAACACTGATTACCCACAATGCTAAAACCAAGACTTAAGGGAAGTCTCACCTGTTGGAACGTGGACGCTGGTTCTCTATAGTGTTGTCCTGTGGGTAGTAGTGTCCAGATACTGGGAGGTGGTAGCAGATGCTTGCAGATATGAGCTTAGTGCATCTGGCTTGTTCTGTGCACATAGCAGTAGCTCAGATCTGGGGAGCTTGGCCATAGCGTCTAACCTCTTTGCCCAGCTCGTGAGAAGCATCTTTTTTTTCCAGTGTGGCTGCATTCTGCTAGGGAGGAGGCTGAAAAGGGCAGGTCTGGTCAGCAATAACATTTCATTAGCTGGGAAGGAGCAAGACATTGCACAACACTATCCATATTGTCAACATCAATAGGTTTTTTTTATGAGAGTTGTTTGGTGTATGGTAAATATAAAATATGGAGGATCCTGCATGAAAAAATACAACAGTAGAATTACGAAGGTTATACCATATGTAATTTATTTAATTTTTTTCCTTTTCTTAAATGCACACCAGGATGAAACTTCAAGGGTGGGTTGGGTTATTGTCAATTCTAAAATTACATCAATAATTACTGCACCAGCTGCAGACATTTCTTAAATTTAAAAGGCTCACTTTGAACTGATATTCCCTTTTGGAACACAAACTCCCACTGCTGAAAAGAAAAGATGATGTCTTAAACAAATTCCAGTGTGTAAGGGTAATCACCCATCACTTAATTTAAGCTATAACAGGAATCTCTGACCTTTTGAAAATGCTTATTGGTTAATTGTACACAACTAGATGAAGGGAAGCAGCTATCCCAGCTCTGTTGGTTACAAATTCTGCACATAACCACCGGAGTCTAACATTTCATGGTTTTGCTTTTCTGCAGATAATAAGATGGCACTAAATACTAATGTCCCAACTAATGTGCTTTAAAAGTCGTGCGAGGGAGACTTGGTTAGTTCTTGAAAGAAAATGTGTCTTAAAAGAGCTTGAATTAGCTTAAAAGTACAGATGTATAAACTACTGTCTTTTAGTTTAATGTGTACATTTTAATTTGTGATAAACTGTTTTTCAAATGTTTATTGTATCACATTAGACAAAACTATTAATGTTACTAATACCAAAGACCTGTCTTCATTTTGAAAGTTCAAAAAAACATTGCGTAACAGTAAATGGCCATAGCATGGGATCTCTTTGAGCAACATTGCTGCCTGCATGTTAATTTTAAGTTTTTAGTTTTATACAGTTTACGGTTAGAAAAATATTTGGTAGGATTAACATAGATTGCATCTTACAAAACATTGGTTGTTTAAGTAGGTTTGCAGCTCAGATAGTTGTTGACTCACACTAAAAGATACATTTTTGCAGTTTTTTGACTCTTGATCGAGTGCCAGTATCAACCCTCGCCTCTCTGCACTCTATCAATAGATAAAATCCAAAGCAGACAATTCATGGATGTGAGGGGCGAGGAAGCATGACAACTCCACTGTCGCTCTGCTGTAGTATGAGAGGACTTCCTTAACCAGTTCAGAGAAAGTGGAACAAAAAGATCTGACCCGAGAACATGACAAATCTACATTTTTAGATTGTTATCTATGTTTTTTTTTTAATCTGCGTGTCCTCTGTCTGCTAAGCAAGCAGAAATGCCTTCCTTTTTTATTCATTCGTTGAACGACCTTAAAGGTCGGCATTTTGTTATGTTTTTTTCTCCAAAGGTTTTGTCATTCAGAGCGTTTTATAAATGAGATTTACTCTGGTAAAAACAGCTGAAGCAGAGTAACTTGTTTTGCTGCAGAAAAAGGCAACTCCCAAAGACAGGGATCGTACACTGCTGAAAAACTTGAAAAAGCATGATTTGAGTTTGAAAACTAACTGACATGACGCCAGCCGGGTTTCACTCCTATTGTAACTTTTAGTTGCGTAAATGAAAGTCCCACTTTGCCGACATAACTGGAATGAAACAGAGCAAGGTTTCACATTACACTTTCTAGCGCATACTCTATGGCTGACATTTAATTGTATACCCAATAGTCACCTAAAAATAGGCATCCTTATATTATTAAGCGACAATGACAAATATTTCTGTGAAGAATGCGGTGTGGTTGATTAAATCTGCTACAGCAATCTGTTTCCAAGTTCAGCCTTGACTTCCACATGGTCATATAATGCATTAGCCAGACCTAGAAGGAAAAAATGCAGCAAATTTAGACTCAAGTTGAAACTTCAATTTTATTATTTCGTCAGAACAATATATATATAATTTGGTTGTGGCTGTATGACAAATACAAGAAGCAAGTCACACAGAAAGAAACATTGTATTTGTTGGTGAATGCATTTCAGAAGGGGTTTAGTGCAACTGATTCCCAAATATAGAATAGAAATGCATGCATGCATGCAAGAAATGTGAGGATGACATTCCTTACAATTTCTTTAATACGACTTATTCAGGTCATGTGTTCACGTAAAAAACAAGCAAGGGAAGACCCGGACTAAAATTAAAAACATCGGGAGACAGCAACGAAAACAACAAGAAAACAGAAGAATGTGGTGAATATTTAAATTCCTGTCAGACTGCTGTGGCAAACCCTATCCGATTATTGCGGCGATCAAACTCTGTGTAGTAGCGTGCAATGAAGTTGGCTCCCAAAATCCATATGGGACCTGTAGGAGGCGGCACATCCAAGCCCCTGAAGGTAACGGTGCAGACTTCCCCTTCGATCTGTGATTGCTGGAGCCACAAAGAACAGATGTATTATAACACAATAACACACCAAACAAAGTGCTAGAAGTAAATGTCTACTATTAAAATTGTACTCAAAAGTATTATCTGCATAAAGGGATTACTGTTGTGGTCCTTAATTTTCATATTTTATAAGCCTAATATTACAATTCACAACAGCAGAATTAAAATACACGTAGTGCTGCAAAAATTTATTTAAAAAAATAGAAATACGTCACTAAAGTGCAAGTACCACAACATTGTACTTGGCTGTAGTACTTGGGTAAATGAACTGATTTACGTTTGAACAATGCATGCCTATGTTAATACAGTTCAGCATCCATCAACACTCTCACCCATAATATATAATCCTCCTGTGTGAGCGAGTATTCCTGGCCACCGAGGAGGAACGTGACACTGGGTAGCGTCTTCACAGTATCACAGTTGACTTTGTACTGGCGAACAACAGAGTAATAGTTGGTGACAACTCATGAATTTCTGCAAACATGCTTTTTTGTGGGAAACTGTGTTGCGTGTGTAAAAGCTTACTCCACTTTCATCCAGCTGTGCTCCGATGGTTTTCATCAGCACGGACACAGAGGAGGCCGGGCCTGTGATGTAGGAGGAGCCCGTGTCGATCACAGCTGTGCAGCCCTCTGCGCAAAACATCATCTCCCTCCCCACAGAAACACTGAAAGAATGAAAGAGGAGGTAGAAATGAAAACACATGTACTTTCTGAATGGCTGCACCTTTGTACTCATGAAAACACATTACATGATAGCAAATAAAGATCATACCCTTTCATGGTAAGTTCCCATTTGCCTGTCTGTCTGGTGTTAATATAATTAAAACTTCCAGTGTAGTAATTTGGATCTGTTCCACCGAGGACAAGCTCTCCGCCTGGGGAGCGTTTTGGGTCCCTGAAAATGATAAACAAAATACCCTTAAAGTTGTGCATTTTCTCTTTGACAGTAGAAATTGTAATTTTGCTGGTTCACACAGGTTGCTGAGCTATATCACATATTAAAAATACAGTACTGTGCAAAAGACTTGAGCCACCCCACATTTCTTTATATTTTGTTTCCAAGGAGTCAGACTTTCTTGTAGCTTTTGAAATTGGTATTGAGCAATATTGTTCCAGGATTTCTGAAGATCTTTCAAAAATTTTCTTTGGACATGTGCTTCTTTCTCACTCACTTTCAGTCCAGTGCTTCAGTCCAGGTGAATGTTTTTTTGTGTTGCTTTTTTATTTGTTTGTTTTTTAAGCCATTTAACACTGACCTATAAATCATTCAAGCACACAAATGGCATCTAACTCAAGGGATGAACACACATAACCGACAACTCAGAACAAAGAACACACCCAAATCACAATCAAAGCTTTGGGCGTGTTATTAAGCGTCTTGCAAAAGCACAGTTTGTTCCCATTTCATTATCTGTGAAAAATTTCAGAGACAGAATGGTCTGACAGGCATAAAGTAGTATTTTTTTTTTCAGCAACAAGGTGATTCTCAAAGAGCTAGTAGCCAAAAACTTGGAATATCTCAGCGTATTGTGTTGTGTGTCCATAAAAAATGTGAGAAAACTGAACAAGTAGAGGACAGAAGAAAAAGTGTCACACCTAAAAAACAAAACAAAACCATAAACAAAAACAAGCATAAAGAAGAAAACATCTATAGCAGATAAGCAGGATCTGAAAGTCATGTCGTTAAGAAAAAATACACCAAGGACCTGTCACAGGATCTGACAGATGGATCTGAACCTTCATCTGATCCATCTAACGTTCCCGGAAACCTCATCAGAAATGGTGTCATTGCACAGCTGTCAAGAAGGGGAACACAGAGAAAAGACTGAGGTATGCTGCACTAACATCTGGAAATTAATTAGCAATGGCTTTATTTTTCAGCATCACACTGATCCCAAGCACACTGCTATTGCAGAAAAATCACATTTTGACCAAAAATGGAGCCAAGGTAGCCAACATCCAAAGAAGAGTGTAACAAACCACAGCAGACCTGATGACATTTCCATGCTTCTCAGCATACTTTACTTTATTACTTATTACACGGTTGCTGTTCTAACACTTCGTGGCTGCAGCTTCCCAGCTGCCAGCCACATGTACATAACAACAATAACTACCGACAACAAGCACCGCTTTTTATGCCAGCGAGGCGTGATTGTAGATGCTGTGCAGGTGAGATGAACTCACCTGCACAGCATCACAGGCCATGCCCCATTACAAAGAGCGTTAAATATCCTTCAAGAAGCCAGAAGAACTATTTCTGAAGACTACTTAGAAAAATCCTGCCTAAGAGAGTTTAGGCTGTTTTAACGAAGACAGGTGATACCAGTATTAACTTTCAAACTCACTGGTTTTCACATGTCTTACATTACAATCAAACGCTGCAAATATTTACCACTTTCCTGGCAAAATGTAGAGTGATGAGGAGTGGCTCAAGATTTTTGCAAACTTCTGTAAATAATAACAAAAAATCCAATTCCCTCTGACAGTAAATAAAGATCGTTTACAACTTAATCATGAAGGCACCTCAATTTTTAATATGTTTATTTGAGTTATACCTACTTCTTAAATCTTACATAAAAATGCAAGAGGCAAATTTCATGAGTAAAACATGGGTTGATGCATGTTTCATGAGACATCCAACACATAAAACACAAAACATTTATTATATCTTTTCACTATTTCATTTCATATGGGACGTTCTTTTAGCTTAAATTGATTCTTTCGTATGGCGCTTCCCACAGTAAAAGAAAACATCATAATATTTTTTCAACTGGTTTATTCTGGATATAACCAAGTATAATAAATGACAAAGAACTATGAGAAAATACACATAAATTTTTTTCTCTATTTTCTCACAACACCCTTGTGTCTCACACAGATCCAAATCCATTTCGTATGATCTTCTTCAAGTTTGGGTTTTTCTTCTAATTCTAACTTTTTCAGCTCAACAAGCAGAAATTGAAAAAACGTGATCCTAAATCTAACAGATGTCCTGACGAGACATTATTTATAGTTATAGTGTTTTTCTCTCTGATTGATCAATTCAACACTTGGCAGCAAGTTCATTTTTTCACTGCAGCATAAATATCATTGACAGCTTGATACATTTTCTTCAGCATCTAAATTATTGTCATTATTATTTTTTCCTCGTGCAAAAGCCTTTCATATAAAATGTCAGTTCAGTTGATTTACTTATACCCACCTGCTGTAGTAGATGGAGAAAACTTCTTCTTTGAGGACGTGTTGAGACATGATATGATCGAACACTGGGGTTATGCCATCAATGGCCGCGTTGGGGTATCCCATCCCCAGCACTCCATCAAACTTGGCAAAGATGAAGGGCATGGCAGACAGAGCCGTGGCTTCAGCAAACACTTGCACTACTGGGATGCCACCAACCTGCAGCAATAAAACACTGCTAATCAAAAGTTTAAAGTGTAGTGTGCAAGAGGAAGTTTAAAAAAGAAACAAAACCCATTTAATTTGTAGGTTTCAGACTTGAAACTCACCACAACCACATCCTCGCTCAGGAATCCCCTGACATTTCCAGAGGCATACTGGATGGAAAATCCTGTTCCATTCTCAATGTAAGTCCGGGATTTGGAAGCATCATACCTGTTGTGAGTAACTGAAAGTATTTAAGCATTTAAGTCCAACAGCGAATGTTTACCTGGGAAGTTTTAATGAACAATGTTCCCTAAAATATTGCATCTATTTTTTTTTTTTATTTGGCCAGTGAGCATAAACTAATGTTGGCATATTGTCAGTTCATTAAGTTCACTAAGTTCAGAAAAAAATGTTTGAATATGTACACTTACAACAGGCAGTGGAGAACGGTGAGCAGCTTTGCGAAGGCACCCACAGGTTGGCTGAGCCTGTGTCAAACACCACATTGAACATCTGGGCCGGAGAGCCAATACTGATTTCTCCAAAGTACTGCGTCTATTGGAAGTGGAAAAATGTCCCACGTCATTGTTGTTTGAATAGTTTTTCATTCCAGTGTTTTATAATTTTTAAAAAAGCAAAAAAAAAACACAAAACCCCCCAAAAAAACAAAACAAAAAAAGAGAAAAAAAAAAGAAAAAAAAGAATAGTTTTTCAAAGGTTTTCCCACATGTTAAATGTCACTTTTAAGGCCAATGACAGAGAAACGTGGAAAGTCTGACTCATAAAAAGAGAATATTTCAAGAGGCTAATTCAAAAGCAAGTTCATCTGCTGTTGTCGTGAAGACATCTCAATGCTCATCCAAGAGCAGAGATGAAACCTTTAATCATAGAGGTTAAAGTCTGTATCTATCTTCAGAACTGAAATAGAAAACGCAGGTGGTTTCAGTGCTACATTTTCTATCACATGTATCATCTGTAGCTCTAATCAATGGATCACATTAAGGTTTCTCACATCCAAATAGTTGGTTAGCGGCGTGGGAACAGTTCCGTTGTTGGTGTCAGCTATGCTCTTCTGGGCCAGCTCAGTCATCACCTGCTCTACAGAAACTCCCAGCTCCTGCAGAGTCTCTCTGATAGATGGCATCTTTTTCAGGGCAATTCTGGAACCAGAGCGGGAAAGAGGAAACATTCTGAATGATGCAAAGAGCAAACTCGATAGCTAAGGTCATGTTAAAGAGGTACATGGAGTTTATTTTCTGTGCTATGTATCTATTACATATGTCTGGGGATAATCTCAGTATGAACCTTTAACAAAGTACAGACCGCTTTGCTCTCAGCACCCAGCCAATCAGATGAACAAAAACACATGTGAACCCAAATGCTGAAATCATTAGCTTTTGTAATGAATCAATAAAACACATTTGTTTTCATGTCCTTATATAATTTATGGTTTACTGTCATTACGTTTCTCCAGAATGTTATCTATAATGCTGGTGCAGAAATCCAGTGAGTTAGATTCTTTAAGCAAATCAGGTAGGCATGTAAATGATTCTTTTTTTTTTTTTACCTTCTCAAAGCATGGCTCGTGGTCACTGTCAGTGATAGAGCAACCAAATATATCCACTGATTCATCAGTAGTGCCATGGCGACTTCTCGGACTTCACTGATGTCGGTTCTGTATATAAAAGTTGGTTTTCCTGGCTCTTCTTCTCTCTCGCTCTCTCCGATGTCGTGCACCTCATCTCTTTTAAGTGCTCTCACCCATGGGCCTGGCTCTGGTTGGGAGCTTTCCTGGAGGTGACCACTGGAAAACAAGCCCTTCTTCCCTCCCCCCACCTTGCACTCTACCCCTCTGCCTTGATCACACAACCTCTTCTGTGATAAACAGGTCCCAGTGAAAGATGTGAACTCTGACCCCTTAAGAAACACTGATGACAGAAAGCAGGGGTGAAGAGGTCTGCATATTAGTGACGTAGGTAACCTGGAGACCCTGTGTGAAGGGCTGTGAGAAAATTCGAAGCAACCAAATGATGCTTTGAGTTGTCAGGACAGATTAGCTTGTTTACTAAAGTCACGTTAAATCCAGATCTCGCTGTGCACTTTTACATTATTTCTCTAACCTGCTGATGATTTCATTTAATTAGATCAGGGGTGTAAAATTAGTTTTTGATCATGGGTAGCCGGCCCAGTGTGATCTGAAGCAGGCCAGACCAGAAAATCTAATCCGTAATAACCCTCATAAACACCTACAAATGGTTCCCTTTCGCTTTGGATTAAAGAAGTGCATTTTTGAAAAATGTTCACATTTATTGAACCAACCATTTACATAGGTCATAGGTGATGTCTTTGTCAAAACACATGACAGTCAAGACAAAATTGAGAAATTGAGCACCTGTGTAACTCAGTGAGTGAGCAGGTACTGATATGCCACGTGGCCCAAAAGTAGTGGCCTGGGTTCGAGTCTGACCCGTGGCTTTTTGCTGCATGTCTTCCTCTCTCACTATCTAATAAAGGCAAATGCTAAAAAAATAATATTAAATAATATTAATATTAATTTTCTGGCAAGTGATGAATGACCCTTTGGGAAGCCAGCTGTGTCAACATTAGATGGGGTTTTGTTCTTGAAAATAACAAAAACAATGATAAGAATAATGATAAAAGAAACAAGATGCTTGTCTGCATTTAACACACCTTTGAATTTCTTCTATGTGAAACAGTCAGTTAGTCTTTCTGAAAGACACACACACTGTTTAAACCTCTGAATACAATATCAATGCTGCAGATTATATTATTAATGCAATGGTAATGATGATGATTATTTACCAATAGCAGTAAAATAATTTCCCTGCTCCACAAGTGTTTACTGGGTTTTACCACAGGGAGGATTCCCATGGTATCTTGCCTGTCACAGCTGTGTGGTGAGTTGGTACTGTGCTGACCACCAAGTCAAGCCAGGAGATATGTGGAGGTCCATGTCTGGCGCAAGCTCAGACAACCGTAACAGAGGCCAGAGGTCAGCAGCTGAGATACTCCCTGTTGACAGATCTTCCAGGGAATGATGCCATGTTTTCATACAGATTATAGAGGCAGAGATGATTTACAGCAGAGTTATATTGCACTATATTCGCTTAATAAACACTGGAAGATTCTACCGCCACTATTACCAGCATACTTTCTAAATAAATGCTTTTTTTCATAGTGATGACAAGTGACAAAGGGATGATTTACAATAATAAAAACATAAAAAGACTTTTCAGCTGAATCTGCAGCTCTCCTCAGCTTTACGGGGCTTTATGGGGAGTTTAAGCCCATCGTTTATACATCCGGCCGAGCATTACTGCTTTGGTTCACTCTTACTGCAAATGCAGATACATTTAGACACCAGCAATTCCACACAAAGCAGCATTCAGCTGCTATAGAGATCAAAATCAGAGCAAATAGAAGCAAGAGAAAGGGGAGTGTGTCAGGCTTATATGCATCTTGTTGTGTTTACAACTGTTTCAAGTGGCCAATAAAATAAGTTATTGCAGGTTCAAAGCTTTAATGATTGATTTTTTTGGCTTCTTGGCACATGTGCAAAAAGCCATAAACACATTATTATTGTCTAATAGAGCTGCTGTGGTGAAAGTATTACCAAACTATTATCCATTTACCAGTTTTACCAGAGGCTTGTTTTAAAAAAATAAAAATGAATAAAGAGGAGGATATGGACAAGTATTACCATCAGTTTTTACATTTTTAAGACACATATTACTTAGGAGGCCCATGCCTGTTTATTCTTTAATACCATTAGGCCTTACAAGCAGGTTTTGATAGTGCACTTTGGCAATCTCACAGACACCTGACTCTTGACCTGCTAGGTTAAATGGATACCCATAAGTTTCTTTCCCACACTGCCTAGGGAGACCCATGCGTCACTGCTGCATGGCCTCCCACCTCTTCACTTAGGCTACTCCACTGGTGCACATGGGAAATGTAAGATTATCTCCTGCATAACAATTTATATCAGTTTTATATTTGTTTTTTGTATGTCATTAATATTTCCTTGTAGGCCTTCACTTCAAGCCAAAATTTTGACTTTGGTCATGCAGAACTACTCAGAACCGTATAATAAAAGCTGTTGAAAAAGGTGCAACTGAGCAAACCTCAAATGTGTTCCTGCTGACAGATGCATATCAGAGGCAGAATTCGTGCGAGAAGCTATAGCAGGGTTGCGTAGGGACTGTGTTATCTCTCATAACAAGAATGATAAGAAGCAGAGCAGTGGTTGTTAGCAGGAAACGAGACTCAAGGAAGTTATCACTCAAACAAATAAGCCTGACTGCCAAAGCCACAAAAATGCAACATTCTGCCCATCTGGCATGCATATAAATGCGACATGTCACTTTTTCTAATTAGTTAGTTCATATAATTAGCTACAAAAAAGCAGCGAACAACAATTTGGTTTCACAGATTTTATACCCAGTTATGTTTTCATCATTTGAAATCCATGAACTTCAAATTAGGAATGATGAGTCTGTGATTCCATCTGGAGACAATATGTATGAAAATATGTGGGGCAGTCTTCACATCAGGAGGTAAAAAATGTCGAAATTGAGATCAAAGGTGGCAGTAAAATCATGTTTTATGTACAACAGATTGATAGCCATCCTCAAAAGCTTGGTTGTATGATTACATTTGATCTTACACATTTTGTTTTTATTTTATATATTGATAGTTGGAGTTATCGTCCTGAATTGGTGCTTGAATTTTCACTAAGGAGCAGGGTTTTTTTTTTTAGACCTTTTTGCTGCTTGATTTCCGACCAGCAGAGGGCAGCAATTGACTGAAAAATCCACTAGGACAACTCTCAGGAGTTCTTCCTGTTCTTTGATCACATGCAACTCAGAAGAAAAACATTACTTATTAATCTCCGTGAGACTGTTTGTAGGATATGCACGTGTGTCTTCATCCTTACACTTCAAGATAAAGACTGTCCAGACTCATCTTTAAGCTGCACTGGGACAAGCTACCTCCAAAAGAATTGACATGATGTCTGAAAATCCCTGTTCTTTATATTCAAGCTTTTCCATTCTAAAATATTTATAATACATTTATAATTTAAGCATAGAATGGTATAACTCAAGGGATGCACAGTGTTAACAGACGACTTATTAGAAAAAAACAACTAGTATTACTAGCAGCCTGTCCCAAGAAACAAATGTGGAGTGCAGAATGCTTGGACTTGAATGCAAGATACAGCAAAACAAGGTTAAAAAACAACAAGTGAGACATTTATTTGTCTGGAAAAGTAAAACAAACAAACAAACAAACAAAGAAACAAAACACCCAAAAGACAAAAACAAAAACAAAACTGAGGTATAACATCCAAAGTACAAGGAGCCCAGGGAAAACACAGAGGAAAAGTACAACACAACAAGGGAGAAGTAGAGGACAATATATACACAGGAAGACAGTGCCCACTAACAAGGGAAGCGGAAACAGCTGGAAACAGCTGGAAACAGCTGGTGATGACAATCAAGACAGGAGGGAAGAAGCTAAACTAAACATGAGACTAGAGACAAATGACTATCAAAGTAAAGCAGGAAATGAAAATCATCACAACTGAAACCCAAAGAGAAGAACATAACAAACTTAACAATGTACATCATTAAATGGGAAAAATAATCCCAAAAACTACTTAAATAAATTAAAAGAAGGCTTGTCTAAAAAGGTTATTTTCAAGCTCACTGGAGTTAGATGACGAGATATGAAAAGATATTGTGGAAAAAAAAAAGTTTTGCGCTCTATCAACATTAACTGCAATTCCCAGAGAGCTCTATTAGGAAGCAGGTGCACTGTTAGGATAAAACAGCTGGAGAACACACCAGAAACCATGGCAACTGCACTTGTTTTGCTGCTCAGCGTTTGCGACTCAACACAGTGTGCCCATCCACCTGGATCAATGAATATTTAATAACAGCAGTCACACAGTACCTTAATTATAGTTAAACAGCTCTGGTTGGTACTTGCTTGGCTCATACTGTACATCTGAATTACTCCAACGTATGTTAATTGGTGGTAGTGGAGTGCATAGATAGATACTTCCTCACCACTGCTACCACTCTACTCCTACCACTACAGCTACTGCTAATACATCTCCTAATGAAACTCTTACTACTAGTGATGAGTAACTCATCCAACATGTTTAATTCACTGGTCTTCTACGTGTGATTTCACACGGTGATGCTTTATGATGTCACATTTTGTATTGTTAGGGCCCTCTGCAGGCCTGGATGCTAAAACTAGTTCAACAAATAAATCCTCATTCAACACCATACAAAAGGTTTTCATTTAGACATCATATGCTTGATGTAAAATAGAGGCATAACAGATAAACATATTTTATTAAACCACCACACCGGAAATACACTGATTGACTAATAGGTTGTATAGTATGGCTTAGTATTTAGTATTTATTTATTTATTGTCATTGTCAAGAACAATGAAATTGCGTTTGGGGCTTCCATACAACCCAAAAAAAAGAAGAAAATAATAAATACCCCTTAAAACCCAAGTGTACATATTTAACCCAGTGTGACTCCAATGCAATAAGACAATCCTTAGCAATAATGTTCGTAGAAATTCAGACAAAGACCTGAGAAACATGACAAAATACAACAATGCAACCCATTCAATATTATTGTACTGTGAGATATGATATCAGATATGATAGTTATCTATTTAAGAAAGAGGGGGGGGGGGGGGCAGGAGGGGGAAGAGAATAAAGATATGATGCACCAATGCAGACCAGTTCATTGCTATTAAGAAGTTGGATATGGTTATTGTCCATGAGAGGGGGGCAGAGAGTTCAGGAGCCTCACAGCCTGTGGATACAGGCTGT